TACTGTGCTTTTACAGATTTATTATGAACGAAAGTGAAATTTAAAAAGAAAAAATCGCGCAAATAATTATCAGTTTTAAAAGTTCATTCGCTTTGGAAAGTAACTTGTAAATTAATATTATAATTTATTAAAATAAAAATAATAAAGATATGTATAAGCAACTTAAGTATTTTCTAATTAAATACAATTTTTTCATATATTATTTATCAATGGAGAAAAGATAAATCTGGCTTAAGTTGTTTAAATTAGTAAATTAGGCGATGAATCTATTGTTGGTTTTTCTTATTTTTAAGCGACTGACAAATACTGTTGATATTTCTTAAATTCAATGCCTTATTTTTGATTCTCACGGGTTAATTATACAGACAATCCTGTACTAATATAGGTTATACCATAGACACAGAAAAATTTCCTAAAATACTTTTTAAATCACACGCATTACAGATTATACAGAATAAGTATGTTATTATCGGATTCTATACACTGTCATCATTTTCGCATTTCCTTTTGTTGTTCTCTGTGGTTACGAAAACAAGTATTTTCTTGTAATATTTTCGCAAGAGTCGTAAGGTATCTTTATGTAAATATAGCTTTAGATATGTTGAAGGAAATTAACTCTATCGACCTCGAGTCAAAATTATGGGAAATATTGTGTATAAAATGTGTTATTTAATGATTATAGAGACAAGCGTTTACCGCACGACAAAAATGTTGGAGCAGGACGCGATTAGGGTACCTGACTTTTAACCTCGCTACTTCTAATCATGGTAAAAAAAGAAGGCGCCATAGACATCTCGCCAAGGGCATGAGTAAAGGTTTCTACCGCTCTTCTGTTCCTCTGGTATTGCAGATGTCTATGGGCGTCTTTAATACAAAAAATGGAATTGGCTATCCGTATATCAATCTTTACACATTTAATGCATTTTGTCCCTTTTGCGTTTTCCTTAAAATGAAATTCCATCCGCGTCGTCGGTTGTCCTGTGCAGGTTAACGACCCGGCGGCGCCATCGCAAATCGTTCCCGGACCAAAATAGCCCAGACGCTACCTGCTTATTGCCTGAGAAAGGACTTTTCCATGCTAGTACATTTAATACTGACGACTAATGAAAAATATTGTAGCAAGGTTTTGGTAGCTTTTCATTCTGTTAATCATAATAATATTACGAGATATATGTAAAAGTTTAGATGGATGTCTGTTAAAGTTTGTAGCCTAAACGGCTTAAAGAATTTCTTTGAAATTTGGTCTAGATGTAGAGGATAGTCTGGAAGAACACATAGGCTATTCGCTTTCGTTTTTTTCAATTCCACGCGGACGGAGTCGCGGGCGAAAGCTAGTCTTAAAAAATACTAAGATATGAAGACTTATGTTTGCTTATTGGAGAATCGTAAGAAACTTGGTACTTTTAGAATATGGTATAGGTTTTTTTTACATGCACACTGAGCATGTAGACATGTCATATAGACTCGCTAAATGGTCGTGCATGTTAGGTGAAGATAATAAACAATTATCGAGTTTAAAGGCCATAGAATGCGAGCGTTTAAAATATCTTTCGACATCGTTTTTGGAGAATTCCATTTATGATCAATCGATGCTGATTTTATCAGTAGTAACAATTATATTATGCATAATTTAACATTTAACATAGATTATAAATCAAACGTGAACGCGTGCTAAACACAATGAGGCAAAGATGTAAAAGAAAAAAAAAGAAAAGTAAGTTCCATACCTCACGTATTTACACATTGAGATATGATCGAGACTTGTCGGTGGAACACAAAGTGGCGTGGAGGCGCGCATGTAATATTTAATTAGCAATTATCATACAAAGGATTCGCCCACGAACAAAACATTATCGATTTACTGATAATTGTCGTGTAGTTCCGTACAGGTTGTGGGTTTGGAAAAATGCCATGGTCAATAAAACCATCAATTGTCGAAACAACTTTGCGAATGGCTTTTATATTTCACTAGATGCGACCATTTTTGTTACATTATTTTTGGTTAAATCATTTACATATTCATTTTTTAATCTTCTCGCTCGTTTAATTATAGCTTCACTTAATCCGAAGTTTCACTTTTACAATATTAGCATTATTGTTTTTAAGTCATTATTATATCCAAGAGTTCGATAACATTTTTATCTCGGGAGCATTGTACGGTTTCATTTAAAAGGTACAGTGGCGGAAATTGGCGGTATTCTTCGCACAGAAAAATTGCCTCGTTCGTTGTGAAACAAACTTCGACTCACTCTAACAACCAATGAGGTAACAATAAATTCCGCAAACGCCAGAATTAAAAAAAGCATTATTCGCGCACCATTGCCCGCTGATTTTGGAACATAAAGCTGTGTCCCATTGGTTATTGTTTCACTGCGTAGAATCAAACGACCTTAGCCTATTAAATGGATCACCGCCAGATGCGCCAACTGTACGTTAATTCAATTTATTTTTTTAACTCATAATGTTCTATGCACAAATTAAATTGTTTATTGAACACCTTCGAAATAAAGATCAAGAACGGGTTTAACGTGTTATTAGGTGTTAATAAAAATTCATAGACATGTAGCATGCAATTTAAAAAACCGGTACTAATTACACATGTTATCCAGCACACTGTATTGAGGTGAGGGTCTCTAACTGTATTATAATAGATTTAGGACCTGTCCCACCACTGGCTGATGGAGGCTGAGATAACTTAAAAATCATTTTTAGATAGAGTAGCAAAATCTGATATTCCCATCACATTTTTAACACGTTAGATTGTTATCAGATAATTTACAATTCGGTGTGACAGGTTTTTAGCGTTTAATACATGTCACCGTACGTTTGTAAATATCATCAGTTAATAAACTTTCTAGACGAATCAAATATTGACAGCCAATTGTGTATGAAACACTAACATTTATTATTTCACAAAGGTTATAAAATATTTTACTATTGATTGCTATTGTGTTTGGTGACCATTTAACAAACGTTTTGAATTATCAATTTACATAACTGATTATGTTATTTATGTACTAAAGATGTTATAGAATGATTTACTAATTCTCGAAGCATCGCAATAGTTTATTTAAAATCTAATTTTCAAACATTTAGCCGTTAATTTACTAACAATGAATACAATTTTGTTTTCTGTTTTGTTTAATACAACTATTCTAGTTTAAAACCAAAAATAATGCAGTAGAGAAGATGTTCGAGAGAGAAGTAACGGCTGGTGCCGAGGCTCCTGCTCCCTTGAGCTTAGTTACTCATAAACGAGGTTTAGGCTAAGCGCTATGCGCTCGTCCTCAAGCCCGGTGAATCTGTAAACGCTTCTTTAAGGCAAACAGTGGCCATTCAGTCACAAAAAGTGTTTTAACAGCGGTTAAACAATGTACATAAATTTGTTTGAAAAGTAGCTAAATTACGCTACTAAGGTGATAAATATTTTGAGGTTATAATCCTAACTATAAAATATCGTGACATTAAGGAGTAAATCAAGGTTGAAATAATTTCCTGTTATAACTCATAGTTACATCATGGTTTAAAAATGTTTACCTATAATATTGTATGATTGAGCAGTATCCTAATAATATAGGTATTTTCTTTGTTTAGATTACTCCGCTTGGGATAAAATGAATCATTACTTGGTTAGGTCAGCTAATAACGTCTTAATGGATGGATTGGATTGTAAAGGAAATAGCGTTTCCTGCAAAACTTTATGATTTACTTAAATTATTTTAATTATCAATTATTATATAGCCTATATAGGGTCCAGTTTATAAATTACTAGATGTTGCTTGCGACTTCGTCCGCGTCAAATAAAAAAATAGCCTATGTTACTAACTGATGACGCAGCTGTCAATCCGTAAAGGAATTGTTGAAATCAGTCCAGTAGTTTTTGAGTTATTACAATACAATTAAAAATACAAACCTTCCTTTTACAACATTAGTATAGATTTAGACACAATATTGCTTTAAAATGCAAACGGTTACTACAACTGACTATTACCGATACCTTTGATCGAGAGTCATATATGAACACTTTATAATAATGGTTTTGAATGTAAGAAGAATGAAAAATACTTTGTTCTTAGAAATGTTAGCATAAGTTAAAGTTAAAGTTATATTAATCATGAAATAACAGCTAATCTGTACGTATACTGAAGTGCACAGTTTTGCGTAACTGCCATTATTTACCATTTGTGTTTTTGACACCGGCGCGGCGCGACTGTATCCGGTGACGTAAGCAACTTCAATAGGGTTGTGAAAAACTATTAGAAACATAACAGTTGAAGAAATGTGTGTTTAGATACTTAATATCCTAGATAATTACTTTTCCTACTTCTACCATAACTTATGTTTGTTAGACTTTTTTAATTTCGTAGGAAGTACGATTTAATTTGAAATTCCGCTGGAAGAGGACCCCATTCATTGAAAATTACTTCATCAAGGTCTCGTTTAATTCGTAAACGTTTTAATTAGAAAATGGATTCTTAGCAAAGTCATAATATTTACAAAATTGAATTCAGCAATTAATATAATTTAAGAATTTTATACAACAAAATTTCTCGGTAGAAATTGTCAGCGTCAACCCTATTGGATAGTTTGTCATCGGATTCGTCAGACATTTTTTCACATAGGATATGACCAATGTCACTGAATAAAATGTTGATACAATACTTTACGCGTTTCCACTGACGAAACATTTCATGGTGGCTTTGTTTTCTTATAAAAAAGACTGAGATACCAATGTTTTACCAGTGTTTGATTGGTGGAATCGTTATATAAATAAACACAAAGATTTTCAACTTAAGACCATAGTTACTGACTAATTTATATCCATAATGAAGACATTTGTTACAACATCTGTTTTGCTATTTAAATTAAATCTTGGATAACACTTTCAATGACATTTGGGTTTTGTGTTAAAATGAACTTGAGTAGCACTGAAAGTGTTAACATGATAAAGTTTTGTTTCGAGTAGAGATTATAACGACTTCCGCTTTATATTGTTTCAGATATGACAAGCGATAGGAGTTTTGCATGACAAAGAGTAAATGGAAGCAAACAGAGCACTGCAAGCTTGTTTTGGGATGACGCAGGTATGTGTGTATTGTTTACGTCGGATTGCAAAATGTTAACATTAAAATTTGTTGTTTTTGGTTACCTATAATGATTGTTCTGATCGGAGAATTTCCCCTTATGGTGAGTTCTTACTCGACAAACTAAGGCTCGACTATACTTCCATCAGATTTAAGTGTAATTAAGATCGAAAGAAATTTCCGACATGTTCTGGCTTTACTAGTTTAGTTTTGTTACTAACTTTCATCCGCGACTTGGTCAGTGTGGAATTAAAAAAAAGAAAAGGGAGTAGCCTATATCTTTTTCCAGACTATCCTATACATCTATGCTTAATTCCATCAAGATTCGTTCGACATTTTATGTTACAAATTCTAACAAACATCCATCTAAACTTTCGCATTTATAAAAGTAAGAAGTAAGATTTAATACTATGGGTGATATATTTTCAATTTTTAATTTTAGATTCGAACGGTTAATGTTTTTGTCCGGCAGGTGGCGGTGTGTTAGCGAGGTATGATGTCCCAGCCGGGGCAAGGGCTTGGCGAGCGGCGGTACTCGGTACCTGCCGCGCCGCTCGCGCACGATCCGCGCACCATGCACTCCGAGGATTTACATGCTTGGTCTATTTATAGGTAAATAGCTTATACAGTTAGGTGGTAGCCTACATTATTTACTAGTTACTGATGACTAGAACGCTTATTGATCTTTTCTTTCCCATCTTTTTGTTATGAAATTGGAGATAATCAGAGTGTTATTTTTCTGGTTGTTGTTGATAATTTATATTATTGTTTGAACCTAACTTCAATCAGTTTGGTCTACTTTTACGTACTGATGAAAAAATATTGCTTAAGTACAGTCGCTAACTAAAATTCAAAAGTTTAAAATTATGGAGTTATGATAAGTTCTGGTTTATGTCGTTTTAATTTCCTTTACATATTGCGTTACTTAAACTCCCATAAGATGATATCGGGATGTAATATTTTAATGTCGTAATATAGAGATTAACTACTAAATTCTACCGGTAAATAGCGGTTATCGCAACGACAACTTTGCGGTTTCCGTTAACTTGTACAGTTTTCGCAATAATTAATCCACGTAGACATTTTTAGAGCAAAATATTGAATTACAAATTCCTGTCTTACGCCATTAGTACCGTTCGGTATCAAAGTAAACAATTTTTTTTTCAAATTATCAAGAAACTTATATTATTTTATCATTTTAAAATATTAAATTTTTGTATTATATAAAAACACTTTAAATACTCTATTTCTTCTAAAGCAATCTTTTTTAACAGACAAAACCTCAACTCTGACTTCACTGACAGCGCTCTTGGCAGCACGGACAAAAGCCCGCTGCCCTACGGCAACTTTCAGCTTAGAGACACTACTGTGCAGTCTATACTTTCACACCCTAGATATGGACCGAAGTAAGTTATTTCAGAGAACCAAGCTAAGTATTTTCTGTATCATTTTGAATTTTCTTTTATACGTTAAATTATAAATTTTATATATTCTTTTATACGTTTTTAATATAATTGTTTAGCATAATAAATGAAAGAGAAAATTTGGTTCATAAAATTACACCGTTTTTTAATTCTTGGAAGAATTAGATGCAGTATAGATTGTTGAAAGCAAATAGAATGACATTTTAAATATTTAATCTAGTTTCACTTTTACTATTATAATTAAATCCAACTTTATCTAGAATCTTCTTTTTGTCTAGGAAATGTGTTAGATGTTAGTTGTGAGTGAATAAAATAAAAAACGTTACATTTGTTTATTGTTTTTAAATATCAAGTTGCTTATTGACGTTCCTTAAAGGCAATAGTCGTGTGTATGTATTTAAGTTTTTTCAAGGATACGTCACGTTTCTTCAGTTATTAAGTAATTGTGTATTGACTGCATATAATATGAAAACATGTTTCAGGTCAGCGCTCGGTTCTAATATGTACACCTACTTGAAATTTGGTCTGCCGCGCGTGTTCCCGCCGAACCACAATGGCTCCCAGCGCTCTGGAACACCCAAACCAAAAACATCCATTGGCAGCGGCATGAAATCTGTACCTAGGTAAGTTTCCTGTGTTAGTGGTACCTAAATCATGGATTCTTCTTTTTGTAATCTAAAACTTGGACTTTTAAAGTTGTACATTGTATACATTTTTGTTTGAATATCTAAAACCCGTCTAGTGACATGAAAGAAAAACTATTTGTCTATTTCTGTTTAGAAACCACTTATTTGTAAGACCCACTTAACAATCCACTAATGCTAACAAAATTTCTGGTATCAGGGTGCAGAGACAAAGTCGCGGAGTTCGTGAGACGTCTTCGGGCTACGATAGCTCAGACAACGAGACCTCCACCAACTACAAATACAGCCGCAAGTACCGTTCCGACCCTGACTTCAGGATGCAGAACTTACATCCTTCCTATCAAGTATGATGATTTTATTATCTCACTAGCTTTCACATGCGAAGCCGTCCGCGTGGAATTAAAAAGAAAAGTAAGTAGCCTGTGTGTTCTTCCAGACTATGCTCTATACCTTTGCTAAATTTCGTCGACATTCATTCAGCCGTTTTAAACAAACTTTAACAAACATCCATCCATTTAAATTCAATTAGTAAGCAGAGTAATGGATTCAGTATCTTGAGCAATGTCTGTGTCTGTCAGCATGCAACAGGAGTACCGCTAGTGGCTATGCAGCAGGCGGGCATCAGGGACACGTGGGCGAGCTCGCGGCACAAGTCGCATAGTGAGGCAAATCTACTGGCTGCTGAGCGAGCCGAGCGCGCGCACCGCGCCCACACGCGCCGCACCAGCGTCGCTGACTACCTGCCTGACGACCACCACAGGTACTATGTTGTTATAATCTTTACTATCATTATCATTGCTACCATTATGTTGGTCATCGTCTTTATCGGCGTTGGTTGATTACTCTACGACACTAGCTTAAATAACTTCTCTTAATTGATTACTATCACTTCGTGGATTATGTAACATTGCACGAAAGGGTTTTATATAAGCTTATTGTACGTGCTTTTTTTTCAGTTACTTAATGCCATCCTCGCATCTGGGCGGGCGCATGTCGAAGGCGGGCAGCCATCTTTCGCTAGCGCACTCCAGGAAGCACTCCACGCTGCGGCCCGGAGACCAGCTCGATGGATATACGCACTCCGCGTACATTTACCCTAATTATTATGTAAGTACAGCAAAATATTGAAGACTACAATTTTTAAAAGGACCTATTTCTGTAGCCTAACAAAATTGTATTATATGTAAACTTGATTTTGCTAAGAAATCCAGTAGCCACCAAAACCCCCTTTTTCGTATATCGTATTCGTATCCAGATTTCTTTTACCAAAAATTAGTAATTTAAAATATGAAGCTGGAATTAAAATAACAATAATGTCTTTCCTTCAGGTTAGCAATTTAGAAATAACGTCACCGGATAACAAATCAACTCTTTTGGTGTCTGGTTTGAGCTTCGAGGTGAAGTCTGGAGATATCCTGGCTGTGCTGGCCACTTCCCAGCACGAGGCCACCGGGCTACTCGATGTACTCGCAGGTGTTAGAAAGGTTAGTAACATTAAGTACTTGATTTTTGACGTCATGTAATCAGAAGGAAAGGTCTTTAGGAATCCTAAAAGAAGTCAGATGTTTACTTTTATACCTTGTCATCAGAAATTATCTGGAGATATAGTGCTGAATGGGCAAGCAGTGGCGTCTTCGACACTTCGAAAGCTGGCGGCGTACGTGCGCAAAGACACCTCGCTCTGCCCCTCCATGACTGTCGAGCACACGCTGCGATTCCACGCGGCGCTTAGGAAGCCCAGACAGAACCACAGTCAAGTCAAAATGGACGATAAGGATAGAGTAAGTGGTTTTCACCTCCTTAGCAAGAAACCATTGACAAAAAAATCTTGTTCTGAATTTTCCAGGATGGCATAAAAGTGCTTAAAACAAAACTAAGATAATGTAACTTATTCATTTTAGATAAATATTCTAATAGAGGAATTAGGACTCGACCAAGTTCGGGACACGAACGTGAGTCGACTCACCCGCTCCGAGGTCCGGAGACTGAACGTAGCCTGTCAGCTGCTGCTGGACATGGCGGTGCTTATCCTGGACCAGCCCACCAGGGAGATGGATATCTTCGACACCTTCTTCCTCGTGGAATATCTCAGGAATTGGGCCATGGATGGCCGCGTCGTCATCATGTCCCTCCACCCACCGACTTATGAAATATTTGCTATGCTTACTAAGGTAATTGCATGTTTTTTTTAATTTGTACAACATCGGTATCAGTGTTTTAAACAATTAATTATTTCAGGTCGTATTAATATCCGCGGGCAGGACAATGTTCAGCGGATATAGAAGAGACATGTTGCCATATTTTGCTTCAATCGATTATCCTTGCCCTGCTTTCAAGAATCCATCTGATTATTATTGTAAGTGTTTTCATTAATTGGTTAAGAAACGAAAAGAAGAAACGTCCTAATTAACTCAATTTCACGAGAAAGGTTCTTAAATTACTACAATATTAAATTCAATCAAAGTTATGGGTGTCAGAGTTTAATCCGGCTTCTATTATTAACAAGAGATTAATCAGAAGCCAAGAATTTAAATTTTCCGGAAATTGTATATCCAATATAATGTTTACTGATTCTTGCGTTTGTGTTCCAGTGGACCTGGTGACGCTGGACGACCTGTCTGCGGCGGCCATGTTGGAGTCGTCGGGGCGCATCGAGGCGCTGGCGAGCGTGTTCGCGAGCACGCAGGCCGCGCCCGAGCCGCCGCCGCCCGTGCCGCTGCCCGCGCCGCTGCACAGGCCCAACGTTGTCATGCAAGCTTTTGCTCTTGTCGAGTAAGTAGTTAAAGAAATTGTTCCAAATAATGTTTTGTAGTGAATATAATAATGTCCACATCTAGTTTTACCACTGTAGACCTTTTACTCGTTTTCATTTTGTACTATTACTGAATAAATCTTGGTACAAAGTTCCCGGGATGTACTAGACTTTTATTGTTTTCAGGAAGAGCTTGCTGTACACACAAATGACGACTCTATCCAACGTGATAACCAGGATACTGTTGGCGGCGGTCATGTCGCTCATCATCGGCACCATCTTCTGGGACCTCCCGTCTACTGACGCTAAGGTGAACTACGAAAACTGAATAGGCTAGGATTAGTGCATAGGAAACAGTTTGGCGGTGGAGGAGATGTATAGGAAGGGGAAACATCCTCCGTCAATTAAGCGTCTATGGGCAGCGGTCGCTTGGTCATTTTGTCGGATTCATGTGGCCGTTTGCTCGTATGTCATCTTATGATATAAAAAAATAAGTTTTGACGCTTCCGCTTCTAATTTGACTTAATCGCAAGGAATAGTTTATTCAGAATTGTTTTAGAAATATTATTATTGTCGCAGTTGACTCAAAACGACCGTATCGGGTTCCATTACTCCGTGATGTGCGTTTGCGCGTGGCCGCTGCTGCTGTGGCTGAGCGCGCGCGAGGCCAGCGCACTCCGCCCGCACGTCGAGAGAGACATCGCTGTTGGACTCTACTCCAGGACTTTGTTCATCTTGTTTGATGTATGTAGCATTATTCCGGACAAAAATAATTAACTCGTCATGTTTAATTCAACTAAACTTGAAGAATATATTTAAATTGTGCATTTAAACTCATTAACGAACTATCCAAGGTACACGATAAACCTTTTTGCATTATGAAATAGTTTTCGTCTGCATTGCGTCTGTGTGGAATTTAAAAACAAACAAAAGCAAGTAACCAAAGTGTTCTTTCTATCTATCTGCATCTATGCCAAATTTTATAGATATCTGTTCAGCAGTTTAGGCTACAAACTCCAACAAACATATAAGTAAATATAAAACTTTTGCTTTTACAATATTAGCCAATATTAAATGTTATTTTCATTGTTGCAGCAATTCCTGGAGCTATGGTCTGCATTCTTGACGTGGCTAGCGTACCTGGTGCCGAGTTATGCTATGAGCGGCCTCTACACGCAGGCGCCTGGCTCTTATGACGGCTTCTATATTTACTTAGGTACAAATCTAATTTCTGAACCATTCAAAAACTAATGAGGAAAACCAACATTATTCAAGGATTTCTTTTGTTTCGCAGGTTACATGCTTCTATACCTGATCAGCATACAAATGCTTTGCCGAGCGATGGTGTTCCTAATTCCAATGGAGAAGACTGCATCTATCTTATCAGGACTTGTACTTCTGCTGACCACTTTAGTGAACGGCGTGATGTTACACCAACACGATCTGCCGTCGTACGTCAAATGGTTGGAGTACGTGTCGCCGTCAAGATGGGTGTTGCCAGAGATATTGCAACGAGAACTTAGTGAAACTGCACTCAGAAGCAGCATTAGTAAAGATATTAGGTGTACTAATAAACAGGTTTGTTTTACCGTTTTTTTTTAAATTTTAGTAAGTGTGAAATAAAATAATTGGCGAGATGAAGACATAAAAAGGAAAGTAATAAGATGAAATGTAGCTAGAAAGGTGGAGGAGGACTGAAGAAAGTATGGATGGATTGTATGAAAGCTTTGCTTGAGGGTGTAAATTCAGATATTAAGGCTGACAGATGTGTCTGGAAGCATGATGAAATAATAGACAAAATACACGCGTTACATAACTATGACTGTCAGAAATCACTACTTTTAGGTAACTCCGGTTTTTAAAACTCAAAATGACATTTCAGTAGACTAATTAGTCTTTTATTTTCAGAGACCTTATCAAGATATAATAGTACCATGTCCACCACCGAATGGAACACAAGTGCTGTCAAACTACGAGTACTTAAGATCTGAAAACATATGGGAATGGGACGAACACAGCTTCCTCGTAGCACTGGCGCTATTCTACGCAGTGTTTGCTATAATCGGTATATTAGCGTTTGTGTTTGATTGCACGAAATACGTCAAGAGTAAAGAGAGGAAGTCGCTTAAGGGTCACAAAGTTACTGTGAACACTCCTTAACACGTTCTGCCGAATTATCTGGTGTTCATTACCATACAAATCATACTAGTATTAAATGTATTTTATGTATGATGTTGGTCGGGTGTGGTAATTTTATCTTTTAACGAGAAAATTCGTAAATCATGTCAGAGTCGGCTTATTAATTGATTTTTTTAATTGAATTTTAATAATAGCGATTGTGTCGAATATTTTTTAAGAAAGTTGGCGCTCACTTAGTTATTTATTTTAAGCATTCGATTGTCATATTTGGTGCTAAATATACTAATGTTTAATTGATAGATTTAACAGAAATGTTATAAGATATTTGCTGGATAATGTTGATATTAACGAAGTTATAGACTTGAAATTATGTCTTAATTTAGAAGTAGGTTATTGAAAGATTTACGTTCGAGAGTGAAAGTAAAATAGATCATTGGAAAAATTTTGCGTTTTAAAACGATATTTACAAAAAAAAAAACAGAAAAAGCTAAAATTGTTTACTACAGTTAAAAAATCTTATTTAATATGATTAGTTTTTTTTTAGGTCTGATTTTTAATTGCCATTCAAACTATGGTATGATTTATTTGAAATATTTCAGTGAAAATAATGTACAAATAACTTTTTTCTCGATTTTATTAGGTTTTAATGAGAAAATAAGTAGATATTGAAGGCTGACTATTATATTGTCTTCCGTTAACACTAGAAAAATGTATGTGCGTAGTTATTTACTTTAACATAGTGCCTTAATTACTTAAAACATATACTTAACTCTTACTTATGTTTTATTATATTGTAATTTAGTAAATAAAAGTATCTATATATTACAATAAGTATTTTGTAAATAATCGAGTGCCGAATTTATATGAAAGTAGTTAACATGCACTGCCTTTTTGAAAATGCTCAGTAAAAATTGAAAATTAATGTTTTTTATTACAATGCAATATAATATTAATTATTAAATTTGTGGAGCCATAATAATGAAAAAAATAATAATTGGTAAGTTACCTTAATGTGCGGAGAATCGTGATAATGAAATAAAAAATTATTTGTAACTATTTTTGTGAATTTTTATTTAATAAACCCATATTTACACGTGACAATATAAATACCTGATTAATTACTAAACAACAAAGACAATAATTATTACCAATTTTTACAACACATGACATAAATTAACAATGTTTTATTAAAAAAAAAAGAAAAAAACGACACAAAAATTAGTTTATTTCAATAAATATATTATAATTCCATATTTACTTACAATATTTTAACTAATATGGAATGGCTGATAATTTTTTTTTAATATTTTTTCTTTAAATACTTTCTTATAAATCTCGATTTAATAGTTTCGCAATTATTTTGTGGTTTAGATTTACTGTTAAATTCTGCACATTTTAAAATAACATAAGCTTGCAATTTTATTATAGTTTGATAATTTCTGCAAAAACACCCAAAAATGTGTGTGCATTTAGCTACATAGTTTTCATGTATCTACAAGTACTCTATATTTCGATACTTAATTTATTTTTATTCAATTTGTATAATTATTCCTTGTCTATTGCATATGATTTTTATTACCCGAGTAATATTCATATTGCTTATTTCCCAACAAGTTGGAGACAAATTACAAAGTAAATTGTAAAAAAATGTATAATTTTTTGGAAAAAAAAAATTCATCTTGTTTTTTTTCAAACTTCACTTAGTAGGTATTTTCACACCGTTATATTGCAATTCATCTTTTCATTTAATAATAAACAACATTATTTTTCTAAATAATACAACAAAAAATATAACAAAAAAAATTTTTTTTTTTGAAAAATCTATATTTCATCTTATATTACTTAGAAATAATAAATTATTTGTGAATCAACTATCACCGGAGTCGGAGTGGAACAGCTGGTGGTACCTGAGGCAGATGTCGCAGACGCAGGGCTGGCGGGGCAGCGGGCGGTGCGGGCGGGCGCGCGCGCCGCGCGGCTCCTCGATGTAGCGGCTCTCCACCAGCAGGCGCTGAATGCGCTCCTCTTCGGGTAACAACGCATTCACCGGCTCGAGCTTCAGATTGTGATCACTGGTTCTTGAACTGGTTGGAAAAATCGTGAAAAAAGTACAGAAAATAAAAAAAAATTGCTAATATTTTAATCTGAAATTAAGGAATTAAAACATAGATCCTGGTAATGGTTTATTGTCTATGTTAAATAATTTAAAGCTACGGAATCTGTGAAAATATGAATTTTACACGTAATATACAGATCTACTAGAGTGTCGGTGGCTCAAGTGCTTAACTTGATTTGTAATTTAGTGGTCCTGGATTGGAATTGCGCCAAGCATGTGATTTTCTATTTACCTACGAATTTTACATATTCCTACGGTGGAGAAAAAAAATACCTGCACATATCGGAGAAAAAATTAAAAAACTAATATGAAGTCAACCCGTAGTGGGCCAGCGTAGTTGGCTATGGCCTAATCACTAACTAAGGGTAGGCAGCGAACCGATTACGTTACATACGCTAGCAACTTGACTACAAATGACATTTCAAAACCAACACAAAACTACTACCATACTATATTCATCTATTTATTTAATTCTTTTTACACTAAACTTCACATACTTAAACAAAGCTGCGACAAGATTGTGTACTGACTATAGACTTCGTATACCACTGTTTTTATTATGCATTTTATAGTACTGATGATTTGTCTCATGTCGAACATATATGGAACTACCCACAACTATGACATACTCGATATCATCATATTCATCTTTATTATCATCATTGGCGGGCGAGGCGGGCTGCCAGGGCGTGGCGCTCGCCTCCACGTTGTAGACGTGGTAGGGGCGGCGCGCGCGGCCCGGGGAGCGCCGCGGGGACCGCGAGTGCCCCCGGAACCTCCTATCCGGGAGGTAGATGCTTAAAAGTTTCGTAACTTTTTAATTCTAGTTTGTATAAATAACTAGAACTAGATTTCATCTTATTTCGCTTCAATTTCCTAATTTTATAAAATGTGGGTAGTTTGAAATTTCACTATTTTTTCAAATACCTGATATTTAAAGCGGGGACACAGTTTCGATTATAGAATAATTGTTGTTTGTTTGAATTTCCGATTGTTTCGCAGCCAATTCAACTGTTTAGTTGCACAACTAAAAATCGAGTAGTGTGCGCACATTCATGGAGACTCTTAGGAAACAAAGCGAGACTAAGCAGTTGTACGATAGTTTAGTCAGAGGTGTCACGCTCTTAATAGGGAGAAAGAATAATTTATATAGTGTTACAAACATTAAAGCATTTAACAAAGCATATGAAATGTCTGTGTAAAATAATCTTACTTTGATACATAGCCCGATTCTTTCGGTTGAAAACTGGCGCAAGATTTCGTCTCTATTGACCGAGACCGCGATCTGACGTTTGTGAATGGACCTCTTCCATAGCACCTGGCCCTAAAATGGACAAAAATAATATACAAATACAAATGACCCTAACATGCATTTTGCTACTTTTTTAAACTACCCACCTTTATGGGTAGACAAAAAACATCGGCTATATACAGAAAAATTCATAAGATAATCTTTACTTATAACTAACTAGCTTTCGCCTGCGACTCCGTCCGCATGGAATTAAAAAAAATTGAGTATTCTGTGTGTTCTTCTCGAACTCTACATCTATGCCAAATTTCATTAAAATATGTTCAATAGTTTAGGCTACACACTCTAGCAAACATCCATCCATCTACACTTTCACATTTATAATAGTAGTATGAATTATGTAAAAAAATACCTAACATTAGTATAGAAGTAAATGTCTATGTCTAGTGTCTACATACCTATGGTACAATGGAGAATGACAGACAGGTTTCTGTCTAGAACCGTCTGAATCAGGCACTGTCTCACAGTTACATACTGGCCCACTTGTCACTTTATTCTTCTGGTTTAATATTTCATCAATACGAACTTTGGTAGATATCTCTATCTTAGGTGATAAGATTCCCTGAAAACAAAGATAATTATTCAAATTATTGCCGCATGCTTGTTAATAGTTACAATTTATTTCATATGCAGTATCATCATTATAATAATGAAATTATTAAAATTGAATTGAACAAAGTTCAAAATAGTTTAGTGTGTTTTTTTAATAAAAGTATAAATAAGCAATTGCTAGGGGGATGGACGACAGAAAGGGGGCCCATTTTGATGGTAATTGTCCACCCTAGACCACCCTACATCATCAGCTGTGGATGCCATTGATTGCAGATGTAATTCAAAACTTTGGAAATAGACACTACATTTAATCTTTTGTAATATAAAATAATCCATATTTACAGGAAAGCCTTTTGTTCTTCGCATGAGGAGATCAACTCCATCAGTGGAACAAGTGTTGGGCGGGAACAAGATGTCATTAAGAGCGCCCAAGTATTGCGCTAACAGCATACATTTGTCTGAATCACAGCTATCAGCCCATTGCACCAACTCACAATATATTGTTTCATTTTCTGAAAAATGTACAATATAGTACAAAATAATACTCAGAACATGTAGGAGAAAGATCATACATGTCTGCTGTTGCTGAAGTTAGGCACATCATACTAATCATACTAATATTAATATTATAAATGCGAAAGTTTAGATGGATGGATGGATGGATGGATAGATGGATGGATGGATGGATGTTTGTTAGACTTCGTAGCCTAAACGGCTGAATGGATTTTGATGAAATTTGGTATGGATGTAGAGGATAGTCTGGAAGAACAGATAGGCATATTTGTTTTTTTTTTAATTCCAGGCGGACGGAGTCACGGGCGAAAGCTAGTTATAAATATTTAATTAACAACTAAATAAAACAAGGGCTACAAATAGTTAAGTCCGGCTTGAAGGATCATTTGTTAATGCATTGATAACTTGCAACACTGTTCTTGTTTGTCAAAAGGTCTAATTTCATTAAATAAATTGTCTTGGTTAGATCACAATGGAGGAATGTATTTTTCTTAACCACATACAGGAAGTAAGTGAATGAACGAAATAAAAAACAAAAATTGCCTTAATAATGTTGCAGTTGCAAATATTATTGATTGGTGTTCGATAGATGACACTTACTTAATAAACAGCAAATATTGTTGAGAGCACAAGTCTCCCGAAATCGCTTCTGGAAATAGAAGACATCTTTGAACATGAGCGGGAAGACAGGCGGCAGCATACATGTCTGATAGCTTGTGCCGAGTGCAAACACGATTAATGACACTCGACCGGACTGGCATAACCATACACCTGGACATGATACCTAGAAACAAGTCCAACATTATTACCACCTACTAAAATGTATAAATCAATATAGTATTGAAATTTTGCAACTTTCTCTTACCTTTTGTACATCGACTTGAATTGTTAACTCTATAACTTTTGGCATATTATATTATTACTATGAAATTTGATCATCCTTAAACATATTTACTAAACAACTTTTATTACATGAATTTATGGCACCTCAAAAACTAAAAGATTTTCAATAAAGTTTAAGTTTTACTCCAATGTTGTGACATAGCGTTGTTATGGTAACTGGTTGCTGTCGTTTAAAACAAACAGCAGATTATAAATAATCGATTTCTGAGAAACAAAGTCAACAAAAACTTAGACTTAATTTCAAGGTTTTTTTTTTTTTTGCTTCTTTGTCTCACAGTATAAATAAATAAGTTTAGTGTAAATAAATAATTAAAAATTACAAAACACAGCATATTTGCACGCGAACTAAAACATAAATATCATCTTTCAACGTTAATTTGACATTGTCAAAAAGACAGCATTATTTCGCGCAATTTCGCGCTAATTTTGGAAATCTAAAGCTTTTAAAAAGATTTTGAGTAAATATTATAAAAATAATAAAACAAAATAATTCTACTTAATTATAATGTCCACATCTAAGGTCCCATCAGTTGTTCATTGGTTTCGTTTAGATTTACGTCTCCATGATAACCTTGCATTTAGAAATGCAATCAACGAAGTAAGTTACCTAAAGACTAAAGATAGTAACTGTTTTAACTAAACAAATCGAATCACATGTCTATTCACCATGTTTTTCATTAATTTCAGGCTGAAAATCGCAAACATATTCTCAGACCGATATACTTTTTGAATACTGAAAAAATAAATTCCCAAATGAACAGATTACGTTTCCTCTTACAAAGTTTACAAGATTTAGACCACAACTTACGGAAATTAAACACGCGCTTATATGTTTTTAAAGGTAAAGCAATTGATTGTCTTCCAAACTTGCTTAAACAATGGCAAGTTAAATTTTTAACTTCACAAGTAGACATCGATCCAGAAATAGTAGAACAAGATGAAGCTATCGAAAAAATTGCTGAAGAATTGGATATATTTATTGTTAAACGCGTTCAACATACGGTATATGATTTTAATGCTGTTTTAAAAAAGAATAATGGAAGTGTACCAATGACATATCAAAAGTATCTTTCATTAGTACAGGATATACAAGTTAAAGAAATAATTCAAAACAATAAACAAATATCAGATTGTTGTAAACCATCAGATTTTAACAGTAATGATTTTGATGTCCCATCACTGGATGAAATTGGTATTGATGCATCTAATTTATCTGAATGCAAGTACCCAGGTGGTGAAACTGAAGCATTAAAAAGACTTGATATGTACATGTTGAGGAAAGACTGGGTTTGTAAATTTGAAAAACCTAACTCTTCACCAAATAGTATAGAACCTAGCACAACAGTTTTGAGTCCTTATATTAGTCATGGTTGTCTTTCAGCAAAACTATTTTATCATAGATTAAAACAAGTAGAAAATGGTAGACCTCACACAATGCCACCGGTCTCACTTCTTGGACAATTGATGTGGCGAGAATTCTATTACACCGCAGGTGCGGGGACTGAGAATTTTGACAAAATGGTGGGAAATAAAATTTGTACTCAAATTCCTTGGGGACAGAACCCTGAACACTTAAAAGCATGGGCAGATGGTATGACAGGATATCCATTTGTTGATGCTATTATGCGTCAATTAAAACAAGAAGGTTGGATACACCATTTAGCTAGACATATGGTTGCTTGTTTTTTAACAAGAGGTGATTTATGGATTTCATGGGAGGAAGGGGCTAAAGTGTTTGAAAATTATCTTTTAGATTATGATTGGTCATTAAATGCTGGCAACTGGATGTGGCTATCTGCATCAGCTTTTTTCTACAAATATTTCAGAGTATACAGTCCTATTGCATTTGGGAAGAAGACTGATAAAGATGGCAATTATATAAGAAAATATGTCCCAGAATTAAAGAAATATCCATCAGAATACATTTATGAACCATGGAAGGCACCAAAATCTGTTCAAACGACTGCTGGTTGTATTATAGGCGTGGGATATCCTAAAAGAATAGTTGAGCATGATAAAATTCACAAAGACAATATTCAAAAAATGTCACAAGCATACAAGGTTAATAAAGAAAGAAAAGCTATGAAGAGGCCAAGATCTTGATATAATGTGTTGTTTTTATTAGTTATTTTTTATTTGCCATCTTTTAACTGAGATTAAGTAATATAATTAAATAAATATTTAAAGTTAAAATTAAATCTGATCAATGTTAAACTGTTTTCTTATACTGATTATGAATCTGAATCCCCTTTTATTACCTATTATTTAAAAAAAAAAAATTTGTTTTGAATGGAACTAGAGTGGTACATCAAGATTTTAATTTTCTCTATATAATACAAATAAAAACTTTTGGAGGAATAGAAACAGTATTAAGTTTTAAACTTAAATCTATTCTAATATTAAATTGACTACATTTGTTATCTGTTGTGTTTGTCAATTGATGAGAGTGACAGAATTTTTTGTCAATGTCAAATATCGTTGAATGTCAATGAAGCCAAAAAGGGCGTCATTTTAAAATTAAATTTTTGATTAAACTGTTTGGGGAAGTTCTAGCGTGCTGAAATTACTAAAATGTTTAAAAAGAAAATCCTTATCAATGTGTCATGGCCGTGGTATGTGAAAATATAACCGTATAGTGCAATTAGGAAAAATATCTTCAAGTAAGTGCATTCCGTTGCCTTTCGATTTGTTTTGTTATCGAAATTCTACTTTAATCGGATGTTGCATTAATAGATAAAATCAATATATGCTATACATCGGTCCTATTTCTTTACTTGTCCATAATGTTACTCGGTTAAATAGGTTACATGAAAAAAAAAATACAACTGACTTATGACCTTTTCATTGTTAAAAATGAGTTCATTTTACTACGCTATAGTATCTCATTAATAATCATAGTAGTAAATGATTGATTTAAAAAAAGTTTATTAGTTTATTTTAAGTGATTCCATGGCTTTCGCATACCTGATTAATGAATTAATGAAATTTTATTTAGTAGCTCACAATTCAACATAAGTTCAAGTTATTTTAGTACTCTGATTTTTCATTTTACCTACATTCTGCCACCAGAAGTGTATTGTTTGATTATCATATTATTTTACGCTCAAAACCTTACCATTTACAGTACAGGCTAACTACCAGTCATGACTACATACTATGCTTCTTGAAGTGCTGTTTTTATACTCTATAACAATATGGATTAAAATTGCAATTTTTTGTCTATAGAATCTACCTCATGTTTATAAAATCAGTGGACTATTACATATAACCATTACTAATATCTATAGTAAAAAGAAAATCATATCTGATAAAGATTGTGTGTAAAGATAATGCTGTGATTTCATAGTTCTCATTAACTGGATATTATTGCACTCTTATCTATAGATATAACAAGATATTTATATATGACCATTCTAGAAATGACATCAAATATGATTTATAATTTTGGGGTAGTAAAGAAATGTATGCTTTAAAATATCTCTGATGGTAAAATATTTTTATATAAGAATGGTGAAAAATACCTAAACATGCCACATGGTGATGTACAAGCAACAATTGACATATTTTTTTTTGTCTACAGTTGTCACAGACATGTTAAAATATTATTAAAACATTTTTTTCCTTTCCAAGTCAAATTTGCCTCCCATTCCCACTAAATCTCATTAGAAAATTCTTTCAATTTACTTCTACCAATAATGTTACTATTGCTATTATATATTACACTTAATTACTAATTGTAATCTAAAATAAGGATAGATTATTGTCTCATGTTTTATAAAAAGTTACCTCAGAACAAGTATGGACCTGAACTAGCTAAGTGCAAGCTCTCCAAGTCATAAGTACCTAAAACTGCAATTGTCCAATTGTCGCCCCACTCTCTAACACTTATCATGATGGGGTAATAGTGTTCTGTCAAATGACTTCCTTCTTTAGAAGGTCTGAATTAGGTGATAGGGAATTGATTGTCAGACACATCCTGACCGCATGTTGCAATCTGCATAGGTCACATTCAAATGTCCCTCATATAATTGGTGCATTGAATAGTTTTGTACCTAGTAGTCAAAGATTAAACAAATAACAGAGGTGATGTTTAGAAAAAACTGACTTATTTAACAACAGTAATAACTCATTAGATTTATTTCCTATATGTAGATTTTTTGATGGAAATGTCTATAGATTTTTAGTTTTAATTTTTTTTTAATGTGTTACAATATCCTTTATGTTGACCATCAAGTAAGTGTACTTAACAATGATTTTCATTCTAGGTACAATGAGGCCGGATAGATGAAAGAAAACTGAAAATTTTACATACAATGTTTGGTTGAGTAGGTAAGTTTGTATAATCCATCATAGAATGTGTATTTAATTGCTAATAGTAGTTTTCATGTCTTTAATTTGTTCAAAATAATGAGTCCATCCCTGTAAAATGTTTATTATCTACCTTTCCATAAGATACTTTTTTAATATCTGATGTCTTCTTTTATTGGTAACTAGCTCAAGTATAAGGTTTAAAAAAAAAATAAAGTATTTTTCCATCAACCATATATCAAATTTATTTACATTGACCCAGTTCTGTATTTTTCCATTAAGTAAAATAAATAAACATACTATCAATGATAATGACAAGTCACTTCCGTTTCGCTTAGTTTTTTCTGCTCAAATTATTTGTCTCCAAGTCTCACGGTTAACGTAGATTTTGTAACGTATTATGTATAGTATGAGAGGAAATGATTTAATGTCTGTTTGTAGCGATAAACTAAAAAACTACGATACTGTCAGTAGACATGATTCATTATTACTGAGTATATTTATTAGGCACTAGAATTTTCTGTAATTCCGTGCGGACGAAGTCGCGAGCAGTCGCTAGTTCAAAGTATTTTGCTTATACTTGTTTTTTAAATGGTGTGAATCTTATTATTTGATCTAATACGGGGTTTCGAAATTATCTGTGCTTATGTCAGCAATTACAGCATATTTTTGAATAATTATTTTTTTAATAAAAAGCCCTACACTTGCGTCACGCTTTAGGCTATATATTTTAACGCCATTAAACTTAAGGGGTAAATATTTTGGATTAAAACCCTAATAGGAGACAGAGACCATAAGTTGTTGCCAACATCAAGGAAGCAAGGTAGTAATGGTTTGTCATCATGTCATGTCATTTTGACATTTGCAATTGATAATTTGACACATGTAAACAATAAAAAAAAATCATAATTTTATGCGAATGAAGTCGCAAGGGAACAGCTAGTAAATAATAAAACTAAATTTTCATAATTTCATGCGGATGAAGTCGCACGGGAACAGCTAGTTTATAATAAAATCTAAAATTTTTATTTGATGTTTTTTTTAGTTTCGACATGGAATACCGGCGTGAAGCGTAACCTAGGCGTACGTAAAATGATGATGCAACTTTATACATTTTTTTCTAGACGCGATGACGACACCGCGGCACGTGTCTGATTTATTTTAAAACAGCCGCCTAGGTTCATATCAGTGACCTATTTAGTATTTTCGAAACTGTTTCGTTGATCTAAACATGTTTGATGAAAAGCTGAATATGCTCCGCTGTCCTCGGCGATTTCACCCGGCTGAGTAACATGTTTGTCGCGCACTTGTAAGTTTATTTTATGCATGTAACGGCTTACAGCTTAAACTACCGAGCCGATTTTAATGAACCAGGTGTCATTCGATTTGTCTTCTTCTCCGAAGTGTTATAGGGTATATTATATCGGCACAAAACACCTACAGGGGGCGTGAGATTTATAATTCTAAAAAAAGAATGTAAAAAAATAAAACAGTTAAAACCTCACTGACATTGCATTTCCAAATAGTTTTTCGATTTTTTTTATTATGTTCATCTATTCATTTAGTTAGTCGGGTCTTTTTAATAAATAGCCTTTTTAATAATAACACATGATGACAATACATTCTTCTTTTGGTAAAAGAAAAACAGAGAACTGTCTGGAACTTATATCCAGATGCTTTTTTTATTGGTGGGTAAAACCAGATTGGGTAATACCAAACAGTTATCTCAACCTATATTTAGGTACATCATATGCCTAAATATTTTTATTTAAATTGTTTAAACTTTCTTGAGATATTATTAAACGGGTAGGGTCTATTTTCCGGTGGCGGCACCGACTTTGTAGGACCTAGGTTAATTAGTTACTTTGCGTCGAGTTCATAATGTGTTTTATATTTACCCACTCTAGCAATTATTTTTATTTCAAGCTTAATCAGTTTATTTGATTCCCCTTTACCCTTTTGTTCGAGTAAAACACTTTCAAATTTCCCACTACAGAAATGCAAAAAAACCTTTCTTGAAAAAGTTGTAATGATTATTTTTTTTATTATTATTAATTTATAATGGTGACAGAGATCTTTCTGAGTTTCCACCGCTAAAATACCCATTGTATATCTGATTTAGAAAAAAAATGAGAAAATGAAACGATGTTACGTTTTGACAGAAGAAAACCAAGATTATCTACAAATTTATTTAACCTACATTTCCTGATAAAAATTACACGATAAAAGTTATTTATATCGCGGATTTAAAAATTGCAATCGATGTTAAAATTTTTTTTATCATAAATATTAAATTCAGTGCCGTAGTTTGTTGTATTGCATTTTTGTACATAATACGGGCAAATCGTTTTCCTTCATACCACTTAGATTTATTTAAAAAGGAACTGTACATAAATGTTTCCTTTTTAGTTCGTTACAAGTTTAATACAAACGTTTGTAAATTTGAAATAGAACTTGCGCAATTTTATGCAATGTAAAAACGCAAGTCATTGCTTCTGAAGTAAGAGGCAATCTGACGTCATTTTTCATCAACTAACCATTATTAATGTAATTAGCAAGACAAGATATGTTTTTATGTCAAAGTCTTCAAGAGATTAATCTGGACGTATGTGACTTTTAATTGACCTTCGTAAAATCAGAATAGGCAATATTCGCGTCCTTACAAATGTACAATGACCCTAATGCAATACCGCGTTTTGTGACTACGAAGGTCACCCATGCCTTTTTTTGCCGAAGGGCAATGCTTTACGGATACTCCGTGCTTCGGGTCAGACTCGAGAGTTATGTGGGACTCTCCCCCCATATTGGGGGGCATACCTCACTAAACCCCTCCGTTCCCTCCTGACCATTGTGTCAGGCGCAACAGGATCGCTTTCGCTAAGGTCACCCATGCCTTGTTTGTCTAGTCTAATCTACTTATTGCTTTTACAACAACGATCTTTGTATAAAAGCTTGTATCGGTCGGACTAAAGCTTGTATAAAAGCTTGAACGGTCTTCCATCTGACTGCACAGCTCTCTCTTGTGCATTCATACATGTATGCATGCACGTTTATGGGTGCTCTATACCTTATGTTACAAATGAATTAAAAAACTCTTACAGGCGTGAAAAGGGAGCAACTCCGCGTTTCGCCTGATGAGTGTGGTGGCGGAGGCCCAATTAAAGTCGCTTTCTCTTATCACCCTTTTTTATATGGAAAGGATGGGAAGGGAAAGTGGATTTGACTGCGGAGGAGACGCATAGGAAGGGGACATATCCTCTTTTTGTGCGTCTTCTCCTTCGATTAGGGGTAGGTAACGCATCTGCAATTGCGGACGTCTATGAGCAGCGGTCGCTTCGTTGTTTTTGTGGATTCAGGTGTTCGCTTGTTCTTTTGCCACCTTAATGATATATAAAAAAAATCTTGTAATCAGGTTTCTCTTATACTCATTGCTTTTCAATCTACTGAACATTTTGACTGGTCTACCTTAAGCTGACATTTTAATTATATTGAAGGCAGCCAACTAATGATACATAGTAAAGTTCAATTAAAACCCGTTGCGACACGCGAATTGTCATATGTAAGTTAACTTTCTTTGTAAAAATGTAATACCGATGAAAAAAACTTTTTTTATAACTTTGTAAGATTTAGAATAAAAAAAAACATTCATTTTCTCCTCTCCCCCTCTGACTTCTCATTATGCAAAAAATGGTTTTATCATTTTGTTCATAGTTGTATTTTTACAGTTTTTAGCATTTTTTGATAACAATTAATGGTCGAATTAATTCATAATTATTATCTTACGCACGAGTTCAAACACGATAATGTAATTGTATCTGTAAAAATATGAAGGTCGGCAGATTATAATTTGTAAGTTTTTAGGTTATCTGCTTACCGCATCCAAAGTTAACACGTCCGAAACCTACACGGGTTAAATGTTAAAATAGGTGACGGGCCTATATATCTACAATAGGTATATACATGTATGTTTGTTTAACACATTTGAATTTATAAAACCACATTAGGATCATTTCGTAATAATAATGAATTTAACCAAGAATTTTCTTGGCAACGACTTACATGTGAAATAATTTTTATCTTTTTCTATGAATAGATATATTTTGTCCTATATTAAGTTCCCAGGATTAGTTTAGACGATACTTCATACTAATATTATAGGGAGGAAAGATTTGTATTTTTATTTGTAGAGTATGGTAACTACCTTGTACTTGTACAGTATAAAATCCTCACGACACGGGCCTGGCCGACGATAGTGTGAGGGTATTGGTATTTTCGGAAAGTGATTAAAGAAGTAAAAAATGATGTCTGATAGGATAGTGCAGATTGTTATATGTATATTTTTTTGAAATAAATAAATTGTCTTTTCATTTTTTCTATTTGACATAACTCAATAGTTATAAGCCATTCATTCACTATTAGAAAGGTACTTTATCTGTCAGTAACAAAGGCTGTTTTCTATGTTAGTTTTTAATTTCACGGGTACGAAGTCGCGAGCAATAGCTAGTCATTCATGTCTGTATCATTTTAAGATAATATTGTCATTGACAAATCTAAATCTAAAAATGGATTCAATAACATCTTATCGTATAAACGTTTAAATTTTTTTGTACGGTACATCGTATTATATCTTGCGATTTAATATTATGTACAGTTGTGCGGTTTTTAATAATAATTATCATTAAATTACTGCACCAAGTCTCGAAGTTAACGGTCTACTTAACTGGTATGTTTTTTTATGAATTTTTAGTTTTACGTCTAATGTATGTTATTTAATTAGCACTAGTTTGTAATTTAAGAAAAAATATCGTCTTAATATCATTAAATAATATTCCTGGGAATAAAAAAATAATGATACTAAGTACTTTAAGAAATTGTTAAACTGTTTATGGTAACGGTAGTCATAATTAACAACCTACCAAAAAAGTACTTCGACAAAAGTAAAAAATAAGGTAAAGAATAAAAAAAAAGATGTAACTACAAAGGCAACAAGGTTGCTGCAAAAACTACAGCAGCAGGAATTA